CCTCCTGCTGCTGCTGCTGCTGCAGATCCTCAGCCTGCTCCTGCCACTGATGAGGACTCGGATGACTCTGTGGATTCTGGTGGCTCTTTGATCTTTTAGCTTGGTGTTGCTCTTGGCTGTGTCCTAGATAGGAAGATTACGTCTAGATAGGTTGTGCATTTTGAAAAGGGGAGGTGTTTTGTAATCTCATTGTGAGTAGTCTGTGCATTTTGCTAGGAGGGTTTGTTTTTGTAAACACATTGTGGGTAGTTTCAGCATTGTGATAGGGGGAGTTGTTCTGTCCTATTTTGAACAACTGGTATTTGACTAGTCATAACTCTATGGTCTGTACTGTTTTTAAACTATTGTTGGTTGACTAGTCATCCATCTATGAACATGTTCTGTTATCCTTGTTCCTATATGCCTATCACTTTGTGGTTAATCCCTTTTATCTTATGTTTCTATCTCTCTGCCTTTTTGCACTTTCCTTATCAACAAGGGGGAGAACACTCTCAACCCCACATTGCATATTGTTTTTAATTTCTGTGATAATATGCTTGTTTTTGTGCTGGGAAGATTGGTTGTTCTTGCAGGTACCTTCACTACATCATCTCCTTAGTCTCGGTTTTGGGTTGAGTGTCACCAAGCACAAGGGGACTCTTGTGTTCCCCTGTCTGATTCAGTGCCTTTGTGAGAAAAATGGGGTGGCATTTCTTGATTCCGATCAGTGGCATCCCCCCATTGCTCCTTATGGCAAGGCCTCTGCTGCCCTTAGCCAGAGAGTTTCCAGGACCTTTCTCACTTCTGTGTCGTCTTCCTCTGAGAATGCCTCTCTCAGAGCTCAGCTGGCTGCCAAGGAGGAGTATATTCAACATCTTTTGAGCCTCATTCCATCCACTTCGATTCCGGCACCTCCTGCTGCTGCAGATCCTCAGCCTGCTCCTGCCACTGATGAGGACTCGGATGACTCTGTGGATTCTGGTGGCTCTTTGATCTTTTAGCTTGGTGTTGCTCTTGGCTGTGTCCTAGATAGGAAGATTACGTCTAGATAGGTTGTGCATTTTGAAAAGGGGAGGTGTTTTGTAATCTCATTGTGAGTAGTCTGTGCATTTTGCTAGGAGGGTTTGTTTTTGTAAACACATTGTGGGTAGTTTCAGCATTGTGATAGGGGGAGTTGTTCTGTCCTATTTTGAACAACTGGTATTTGACTAGTCATAACTCTATGGTCTGTACTGTTTTTAAACTATTGTTGGTTGACTAGTCATCCATCTATGAACATGTTCTGTTATCCTTGTTCCTATATGCCTATCACTTTGTGGTTAATCCCTTTTATCTGATGTTTCTATCTCTCTGCCTTTTTGCACTTTCCTTATCAACAAGGGGGAGAACACTCTCAACCCCAC